GTGGTTACAGGATCCAAGCGAAATAAACGGGGTAATCTGAACAAAATAAGACGTGAAACCAGCGGGAATTTCAGGAAGAAAGTGAAGGAATATCTGAAAGATTAAATTAATGAGCTTGCAATGAATCATAAGAACAAGAACATTAGAGACCAGTACAGAGGAATGAATGACTTTAAGAGGGGAATCTACCTAGAAGTAACTTAGTGAAGGATGAGAATGGTGATCAGCTTGCAGATTGCCACAACATTTTGAATAGGTGGAAGAAGTACTTCTCTCAGTTATTGAATGTACATAGGGTCAATGATGTTGGGCAGATAGAAAAACATAGAGTTGAGCCATTAGTATCTGATCCTAGCCCGTTTGAGGTTGAAATTGCTACTGTAAAATTGAAAAGGTAAAAGTCGCTAGGTAGTGATCAAATTCCGGCAGAACTAATTCAGGCAGGAGGTGAAATATTATGGTCTATGATCCATAAGCTAATTACTTCTATTTGGCATAAGGAAAATTTGCCTGATCTCTGGAAGGAATCTATTATTGTACCAGTTCACAAGAAGGGTGATAAAACTGACTGTAGTAATTATTGGGGGATATCACTGTTATCAACTTAATATAAAATTTTGTCCAATATTCTTCTTTCAAGGTTAAGTCCATATATAGAAGAAATTATTGGGGATCATCAGTGTGGGTTTTGATGTAACAGATCAACTAAAGATCAGATCTTTTGCATTTGTCAGATATTGGAGAAAAAATGGGAGTACAGTGAGACAGTACATCAGCTATTCATAGAATTCAAGAAAGCCTATGAGTCAGTTAGGTGGGAAGTATAGTACAATATTCTCATGGAATTTGGGGTACCCATGAAACTAGTTAGGCTGATTAAAATGTATTTAAACAAAATATAGAGTAAGGTCCATGTAGGTAAATATTTAATCAATAATTTTCCTATTCAGAATGGTCTAAAATAAGGAGCTGCTTTATCGTTACTGCTTTAGAATATACCATTAGGAAGGTCCACGAATACAAGGTGGGACTGAAATTAAGTGGGGCACATCAGCTGTTAGTCTATGCTGATGATGTGAATCTACTGGGTGACAACATAGATACCATAAATAAAAACACACAAACTTTAACTGACTCTAGTAAGGAGGTTTGTCTAGAAGTAAAGACAGAGAAAACTAAGTATATGTTTCTGTCTCATCACCAGAATGCAGGGCAAAATCATGACATAAAGATAGGTAACACATGTTTTGAAAACGTGGCACAGTTCAGATATTTGGGAACAGCTATAAGAGATCAAAACTTGATTCAGGAGTAAATTAAGAGGAGACTGAATGTGGGTAATGTTTGCTGCCATTCAGTCCAGAACCTTTTGTTTCTCACCTGGTGTCTAAAAGCATAAAAATTAGAAAATACAAAGCTATAATTTTGCTGTGGTTCTGTATGGGTGTGAAAATTGGTCTCTGACATTAAGGGAGGAACATAAGACTGAGGGTGTTTGAGAACAGGATGTTGTGGAGAATATTTGGACCAAAGAGAGATGAAGTGACAGGCAGTTGGAGAAAACTGCATAATGAGGAGCTTCATAACCTGTGCTCTTCTAGAAGTATAATTAGTATGATGAAGTAAGGAGGATGAGATTGGCAGGGCATGTAGCACGATTTGGGGATACAAGGAATGCATATAGGATATTTATGGGAAAGCCAGAAGGAAAGAGACCACTAGGAAGACAAAGATGTAGGTGGGTGAACAATATTAAAATGAGTCTTAGAGAGAGAGGATGGTATTGTATGGATTGAATTGATATGGCTGAGAATAGGGACCAGTGGGGGCTCTTGTGAAGGCAGTAATGAACTTTTGGATTCCATAAAATCCTGGGAAGTTCTTGAGTAGCTGCACAACTTGCAGCTTCTCAAGAGGGCTCAGCTGCATGAGTAAAACATTAATTTCAGTTATGTTTTATTTGTTAGTTAATTGTCATATTTATTTATTTCAGATACAGTTTAGAGCACAAGAAATGTATCTGTTTTCCTGCATCAAAACTGAAGTAGAGGGGATCATGTGTGGATGACATTATTTTATCTTTTGAAACAGCATGGGAAAAGCGTAAGAAATTCAGTGCAATAGATGAGATCACAAATTTAACAAGGTTAGTGTCAAGATACAGACATAGAATTAAAACATACACATAGCTGGAACAACAAATACATGAAAATACACAAAAATTTATAGTCTGTCTATAAATTGGTTTGGAAAAAGGTCAGGAATTTTGGAATGAAAATGACTTGAGTGTAATGATCAGGTACATGGTTTGCAGCAATCAGTACTAAAGTGATACTGTTTCTGGGTTGATGACACTGTTTTGAAGTAAACTGTATATCAGGTAGATTCTAAAGGATTCTGACGATGGTGTATAACACTCGGAATTACTGGATTTTTGGACTTTTTCCATCGTTTGGAATTCTAGAAACTACAAATCACAACAGTTCACAAACTGGATCTGTTTCTGTCCTCAGGCGAGGAGGGAAGAAACCTACTCAGGTGTGTCCCTTAGAAAGAGCTAACCTCAATCACTGGACAACCCTCGTCAGATTCACACAGCTGTTTAATTACTTGAGACCAGGCTAATTCAATCAGCCAACCCAGTTTGGACATTTCTCCTACCTGGATCCTCCTCATCGGCAAAGTGGTTTCTAACTCACAGTGAAGAACGGCAAGACACAACAGATTCTTCATGAGTTTTCATAAGGTTTTATTTTCGAGTGTTCAGACTTTACCCCACAGATGGCGTTAGCGGTTGATACTAAATGACTTTACAGATGGACATTGCCTAGGCCTCTTTTTCATTTACATTTTTTTCCTTACAATTTAAAAAGATAGACTTTACAGAATTTATTCCATTTATTTGCATTGGGGCACATTCACTTGGTTCTGTTCACTAGGTTTGTAGCACAAGTTTCTACCTCATTTTCTATCCTAGTTCCACGCATATGTGTGTCCTATCACAATTTTTATTGCATATTTTCTTGTTATCTCCCCCTGAATTAGCCTGGTCTCCAGTGTTTAAATAGCTGCATTAATCTGATGAGGGTTGTTCTTATCCGACATGTAATGCTGTGTGTTGTAAACGAAGAAATGGGAGGTCTCAAATCGGAGACAGTAAAGTATGGTCGTGAGTTCCAAGGGTCTCGGACCTAAAAATGACTTCACCTATAAGGGTCAACAGATTTTATAAACAACAGACCCCTCTTATCGCCAGATTGATGACTGACTGACAGCAATAAAAATCTGGTCATAAGCCGCAGATGGGTATTTTATTCCGAGATCAACTGACCATCAGTCATAAGATAAGACTCAAACTTAGATGGGGTTGTACAGTGTTTTTATTATTGCTAGTGGGGTCGGACTAAGTCCTTTGTACTGTGGCCACTTCTGGCCTATTGTACCAGCCCCAGATTATAGGTGAGGGTGATTGTGGAGTAATTGGTGGAATGAAGATTGGCAGGGGAAACCGAAGCACTCAGAGAAAACCTGCCCCAGTGCCAATTTGTCCACCACAAAAGCCACTTGACCAGACCCAGGATTGAACCCGGGCCGCTGCAATGGGAAGCCACCAACTAACCACTTGAGCTATGGCGTGGCCTACTTGTCCAGTGGTTGGTTGCGGTTAGCTCTTTCTAAGGGACCCAACTGAGTAGCCTCACCTGCAGACAGAAACAGATCCAGTGTCTGAAATGTCCTGTTTTCTAGTTTCTTGAATACTAGAGGATGGAAAAAGACCAAAAACCCAGTAATACTGAGTGAATTTCAGATGTTTCACAGATCTTTACTGTATCTGTCTTCAAGGCAAAGTGACTATTAAACGACCTCTGTCAACACTAACAGTACAGGTTTTGAGGTCAGTGGAGGCACGAACATGCTATGAAGGGTGTAGTCATTATGCCTTGAAGATGCAGACAGTAAGCACTGAGAGTACAGCACACATCTACACAATGCCGCCACCCACAAACGGAATATACATTAGCACTGAATCACCATAAAATTCTGTAATCTTCTAGAAAATCAGCATTAAAAATTATTTCTGTATTTGTGATATGCATATCTGCTTTGAAATCTTAGCTCTCTACATTTGTTATATGTATATGATCCTTGGAATCTTTTTTAGCTAACAGTGTTGTAAGTTTGTGAGAGATTTGAATGTGCACTTCCTGAATGCAAGTATAGAGTGTTACTGCCACACCAACCTATTTGGTACAACTTTATTATTTCCATTCATTTACCGTAGCAATATTAACGAAGAAGCTTTAAAGGTTACAGCCCTGGGTTTATCTTTATTGGTGTGGCAAAACTGGTGTAGATGTATTGCATATCCAAAGAAGCACTTTACAAGAAACGCTTGACATACTATTAAAGAAGGACAACATTCAGTTTGTCTCCTTCGGAAACAAATCAGATATTATTAACTGTTCTGAAAATTCCCATGCCCAAGTACCATACATTTACAAAGTGATAATACTGTAAATATTTTCACTCAGATACTGTAGCAAGATTATTTTTCAGTTGTCATTTAACCTGGAAATGCAGTGACATTGTTTATTTCTTTTGAACTATCAAGAATCAAGAACTTCTTTTCATACTAAGACTGCACTGTCTACATAATCATTTGAAACCTTCGGCAAACACAAGGATTAGGCCTGTGGTAATATACCAAAATTGAATTCAAGGAGCACACAGTCTGAATGTTGTCCAATAAGCTGATCTGTTCGATATACTTGGCAAATGTTCAACAGTCACTCCCAAGAAAATTTTGGGTTAGTATACTGAATTTTCCTCCCACAATTTGTCATTAATTATCCTTAGAGCCCAATTAAGAGAGAATGACCACTGCAGCTGATAAGCAGTGTCAAAAAAACAAGAACCAAGTGATTCAACTGGACCACTTTTTGTACACCTATGTTATCTCTGCTGGGTGCAGGTCATAGTTGAACTGCTTGATGTATTTTCAATTCACAACAGAATAACTATGCTTGTAATAAGCATGATCACCATGACTCCTGAGATGTAGGTTGAGGAGTGTTCTGGATACAAATGTCTTGTTACAGATATGGCACTGATATGGTTTTTGTCCTGTGTGAGATCTTTTGTGGACAACTAGAGTGGAACGTTGTGTGAATGCTTTCCCACACTGGTCACATGTATGGGGCTTTTCACCTGTGTGTATGAGTTGGTGCACTTTGAGAGTGTAGAGAACACTGAATGCCTTACCACACACATTGCACACATTTGATTTCTCTCCTGTGTGATTTCTTCGGTGAAGTTTCAATGTGTCTTTAGTAGAGAATGCCTTCCCACAGAAGTCACACAGAAACTTTTCCCCTGCGTGAGATTTCACATGCACTAACAGAGATTTCCGATATTTGAAGCTCTTACTGCACATCTTACACTCGTGAACCTTTTCTGTGGGCTTAGCATCAGGCTCATGAGTTTTCTTGTGAGCCATGAGGCTGTTCTTGGATGTGTAGGCCTTCCCACAGATGTCACACATGTAAGGTTTTTCACCTGTGTGTATGTTCTTATGTTCTCGGAATTCAAAACTTGAGAAAAAACCCTTACCACAAACATCACACTTGAACATATATTCACGAAGGTGCCTTTTCTGATGAGTCTCCAGGCATGCTTTGTGCATTGTCGCATAGCCACAAACATCACACACGTGGTTCTTCTCACCCTTATGAATCTTTTTATGTTTTGTAACTTCATATGATCTTTTGAACTTACGACTGCAGATATCACATTGGAATGGACGGTCTTCACTGTGACTGCCCATGTGACGCTTCAGCAGTTTCTTGGAAAGACATTCCTTCCCACATTCCTCACATCTGAACTCTTTTTTGCCATTGTGGCACTTCATGTGTATTTTGAGTCTTGTTTTTGTGTTAAACTGCAGTCTGCAGAGAATGCAAATGTGTGGTTTGATTCCTGTATGTATATTTTTATGATGCACCACTTCATCTGCAGTAAATAACTCACCACACACTTTACACTTTTCTAGGCCCTTTTTCTTAATTTTAAGATCTGTTGTGGATAACTCACTGGCGTGTGGATAGCTGCTTTGTTTCCAAGGCTGTCTGTACTTGTCTTTTGCTGACCTAAAAGAGAGAGAAATTTTAAATGAGTGTTTCTTTGCTTACAATATATGTGAGAACCAATACTTTATATAGCACATGTTTCAAATCTCACAAGGTGCCCCAGTATACAAGTGGCTAAGTAAAATGCTGGATTTTATCTTCTGCCAAAATTTACAACAGAGAGTCATGTTTCAATCAGATAATCCATTTTCTGTGTATGCTGGGTCTCATAAATCTGAAAAATCTGAAAATAACAGGACATTAATGTCTTCTTAATTTTAAAGCGTTACATAGGGACCATTTTCAGAACATCAGAATTGTAATCACACTCAGAGTTCTGAACTTGAACGTGATTAACATCAAGTACTGCTCATGTTCTAATGTTAACACAGTGATAACCATATTCTTTTGGTGATATGTAAGAAGTGTGAAACAGCAATATCAGCCTTCACAAATAACAGAAATTGAGAATCTACTGGCACATAAATTGCAGACTGATGAAGATCCTTATCATCACCGCTGGGTAAAGGCAGCTGGAACTTGAATGTAACTATTCATCGCTTTAGAATGTAAAGGTGAGGAAATACATGAAACTTTACCATTTTGCTGAGCAATAATGACTGGCAGTTCTCATATGCACAAGTACACGGGCAAAGCTAAGTTAATAAGGCAAACTGATATGTTGCTCTGAAACGGTCTTTCCAGAAATATCAAAACTAGAATATAAAACAATTTTTCAACATAATCACATTCACCTTAAGAACTGTATTTATTTAAGAGACTGATAACCTTCTACATTCCATCAGATAGAAATTTATTTTTTGGAAAATGAGTGTAAAGATGGTGAATGAAGCTACAGTGAAATTATGTCTTGTCCAGCAAACTGACAGGAATTTATTTTGTTTGCAAAAATATAATCACCATCAAAGTATTGAAGGAAAATTTAAATCAAGTTAGATTATGAAGGTGAATGATATTAAAAATATAGGAAAACTTTGAACTGAGACGGGGGAGAGGAGGCTAGATCTGACAGGATATTGGGAGGAGTATGATAAATTCTGCAGTACATTTTCAATGGCTTATAATTCCTATACAGGTTTCAACTCCTGGATGCATTTCAGTGTGATGTTCCTAACACAAGGATGAGCATTTTCCTACAACATTACAGAAGAATATACAGCATGCTTAACTAAAGTGCTCTCACATTTCTGTGAAGAAAATCACTTATCTCTTCTTCAAACCAATCCCAATATACTCTAGTGAGAGCAAAAACCATAAAGGAAAATGAACACAGTGAAACCACCAAACCACAGCTGGAAGGTCTGAATGTGGTAATGAGGGACAATACTTGGTTGTTTCACAGCATTCCAAGCCTAAAATACATGAGAAATACGAGAAAATTGTAACACATTTATGAGCAAATATTTGCAACTTTTATTTCCACCTTAGATGTCACAAAACTAAATTCACACGATAGAATAAGTAACTCCAAGAATCATATAAGAATAGAAAGAAGACTGCAACTAGCAAGATAAAACCTACCAGCTCTGTCCATTTCCATGTCTTAGTATAAAGAGCCCAAGTTCTGATATTTCTCCTTATAATGTTCATATTATTTTCCATTATTGTACTCACTATGTATCATGTTCAGAATAATATAACATTATAATTATTAGTTCCAGAATATCTCAATTAATGCAGATACAGTTCTCATAACAGAAGTAGAAAGATGTGAGAAGTATGTGAAATAAATTTCACTTTCAAAAACTAGTTTTTATGCATTATACTTCCATACTGAGTTTTAATTGAAAAGGAGGTAACAAATTTGATATTTAAATTTACTGACCTTCTAGATAATTAGAAATATAAGCTTAACTTAAGTCAGTTTCATTTAATTTTAGCTGTCCTACTAACAAAATATTGATGTCTTCTGATTTGCTGAGATAAAGTAAGACTGTGTAATGCATGTCCCAGTGACCTACCAGGAAATCCAAAGGACAAGGCAGAGTTGTCAGGTAAATGGCAGTTCAGAGAAAAAGGGTGCCTTGCATGTTAATTAAATGGAATGGTCCAGTCATCAAAGAGTTATGTTAAAAATGTAAAGCTGTCCTTGTGCTTAGTTAGCTAAGCACTATGCCATGAACACATATGGGGGGCTGGAGATATAGCTCCACCATTCTTGACCTTGGTCCTGGATGAAGGTGAGTATTCACCAAAGAGTTATATAATCAGAACCAAGGTGCTTTGTCTGTACGGTGGATTACATTACCACATGAGGTTTCAGATTTTTGTACACAATGACTGTCACTCTCATTTAAGTACTGGTGAGCATGAAGTTTAAACAGAAGGCATACAATCAAACCCTGAATTGAGAAAACAAAGTTAGGATCCTTTATGCCCTTCATGTACTCTTGTACTTAAAATTCTCTATCAACTAGTTAAATGTGACATTCAGTTTAAATAACAGCATTGGAACTTTTTCTGAGTTTCAGTTACACAACTACAAAAGCCTCACATTTAACATGCTGAAACAGTTAAAGGTGGAGAGAGCCTCTTTTTTTTTATTACAGAACTATGTGATGAAGTGTCAATGGGCACTGAGGGTGGTGATTCACAACCAGTGATAGACAAATTGAACAGAAGATAATACATGATTTGACCAACTTATGGCAAAACAAGAAGCAAGAAATTATATGAGGTACAAAACATGTTGAAACTTCACTGAATTTGTTCTTATACTATCTTACTTGTAACTGTCAAACAGTCACGTAATTCAACAATAATTAAGAAGCCCAAGTGAAATTTAGCATAAGGTTATTAAATGTCCTCTTCTTAATGGAATAACCACATACATTCATTAAAGACCACACAGTCTGGGAAAAATGAAAGCAGGACATCATTGGTCTTGTTATGAAACTTCAAATCTGAATTCTTATTTGTTCCAGGCTTCAGATTCTGAGGAAATATCTTCAGAAATTTGGTAGATGTATCCAATAGCCATAATGCCAGCTAACTACATGGTGCAAGATCCTTCTCTTGCTCTTTAATTTCTTTATCGATATAGTAATTTCTTAATTTATGCAAGAAACACATTCCTGAAACATGTCATATAAATTAAAAATGCTTAAACTGAACGCTAACTTCTGTGGATGAAGTAGCACTGGGGTAGGTTTTCTCTAAGTACTTCATCTCTGCTTGCCAATTCCCATCCTAACAACTGGTCCACATTCATTAATCACTCTATCACTGATGTTATATAGTCTCTGAACTTACAGCTTCATTAAATTAACGACTTAAAAAAAAGAGCTAACTTTCCATAAGAACTGAAGGAAAATGGGGAGGGAGAGGGTTATGTGTACAGGCCAAGTCAACCAAGAGGGTTGTAGATATTTATGCATGTAAATGTTTTGATTAATTGTGTTATTTCATTTTGAGTATTATTTTATTTTGGACTTAATACCATCCCCGTACAACTTCTATATACATACAGCTTCTATAGTTGTCTATGATATGCAGCTGCCTTCCATTTTGTCTGTTACTGATCGCATGGTTGTGTTAAAATAAGGACTAAAATGAAGCAAATTACACAGTAGTATACATTCTTCAGCAATATTAAACTGAAATGGCATAAATCAAGAAATGATTTGATTTCTTACCATTCTTTTCATATATTTTATCTTTGCCATATTTAGCATATTGATAGTACAGAACTAACTTATGGTTGGTGAAGTGGTGAAATGGTGACTGGTGCAACACATCTACTTTACACCAGTCAATCCAGTGTTACTATATAATAAGTCTTTTCCTAATTTAACTATGACATTTTGAACATAGAACTAATTATAATTCATTAAATGAAATCTTGCAAATCTCAGTGTCCTACTGGCTTCAGTTGGGTATCCCACACTTTAAAATTCTACTCATTCAGTTTAGATTGGAAGAAGTGTTAAAATGACAGAACATGTGAAGATAATGAAGAATTGCTAAAGAAGAGATTCAATGTACGGTGAAACCTATCTGTGTTGGCAACCTGTGCTTCCACACACATAGCAAGCCTAAGCAATCAGCCAACTTAGAAAGAACAGTGTTAAAATTTACCATTTCATGATCCTTTAACTTACTAGTAAATTCTTGAGTAACTGCACAACTGGTGGCTTCTCAACAAGGGCTCAGTTCCACGGAGTTAGTTAGTTAGTGACTACATACATAACGTCCCTCTTGCATTACTTTCATCACAAGTTTTTCTTTAAGCAGTTTTCTTTGTGTTTTGTCACGTGATTATTAGGCAGTTCACACTGGAACCCACAATTAATTTTCTTCCATTTAAGGTTTCCCCTCATTTAATGTTCTTTTTCAATGATCACAAGTCAGTAAACTCAGTGTTAAATTGGCAGTTTTCCAAAAAGCTTAAACTGGTCTTCACTGTATTGTAACTCTACATCCCTCGCCAAAATTATTTAATTAAGGGCATGGCCAATTGAGGAACTGTTTCTCACAATGAGAGACACTCCTCTGGCGAGATACCATTCAACTATTGTCCTCCTTAGGCTTAGCGTGACATTATTGTCCCTAATGTCGCCTGTTTGCTCCTAGTGTCATAAACCAATGAATTGACCTTGTGCGAGACTGGCAAGGACGGGTCTTGGGTTCCCTGCTCATGTGCCTTGAAGACCTACAAAAGTTTATGGGCATCTCGAAAAATACGAAAGTAGGACAGAGCTCGGGCTAGACCCTTAGCTTTCTCTTGTTATTGTTCTTGTTTTGTTTTGTTTTGTGCCCACTGGGGGACTTGTAAAGAGAGAGCAGTCGGTTATAGGGAGCAGAGGAGGGCAGTTGTTGGAATGTAGACAGAGAACAGAGAAGTGTTTTACAGTAGGGGTAGTAAGTAGGATGGACAGAGCGGCTAGCTCGGAGGACTTGTAAAGAGAGGGCAGTTGTTTACAGGGAGCGGAGGTGGACAGTTGAAGAGGGAGTTACAGGAGGGTAGCTGGGGAGTGGTGTGTATGATCAGTGAGCTCGATGCAAATTGGTGTACAAAGGTTAAGTGTGATGGAGCGGCAAACTTGGAGGAATAAAATAAAGATAATCCCTGTATGAAATTTTAAATTAGGACTTCAATACACCGTGTGTTCTGGAGATCCCCGATTTATTAACCCCGAAGTGTGTTCTATCCCCATCTTTGAAGCACCCGTATCCCTGAGATAAAGAACTCAAGCTCGAGCGACAGTCATAGGAGATGTACGTCGATGGGTGGCTACTGTACATATTGAATATTATATCAGTGGATCTGAAGTAAATGTGAAAGTTACTTAACTTACGAATTTCAATGAATAATCAGATGTACAAAACGCCTCTGGTAAGCTGAATAACAGGAGAATGTACAATTTAGTGAATTGGTAAATGTTCATGAAAAAAATACAGAGAAAGAGTGTTGAGCAGGTATTGTACATGTGGCTAAGTATGCAGGATTTATTATCCTCTGCTTCCATACTGAAACTACTGTCTGCCAAAGCCCATACACTGTCACTGTTCTGAATACAGATCTATACACAGTCTGGGAATTGCTTTTACATCAGCTTCATGGTGAATGACAGAGAGTACTTACATTCCTATTATAATCAGTAAGTCTTGCAAGTAACACACACAACTTCCAAAGAAATACAGGGTTGAACTCAATTAATTGGACATGGGACTTACAGTCTGCTCTGCCAATATTGGAACTGTCAATGAATCCAAGCAATGCTTACTACTGAGTCAGCATCATTCTACAGTTTGTCAGTCAGTCATGATTCTTGTGGTGTATATTGAGCAATGTCCTGGACACGAAGCCCTTGTGGCAGATCTGGCACAGGTAGGGTCTCTGTCCTGTGTGGTAGCATTCATGAACCATGAGAGGGGAATGCTGTGTGAATGACTTGTTGCGTGTTTTGCATGAGTAGGGTTTCTGTCCTGTGTGGGTCGCGCTGGTGCACTTTGAGAACAGAGCTCTGGGTGAACACTTTGCCACATACAGAGCATGTGTACGGCTTCTCACCTGTGTGCACACGTTGATGCTGTTTCAGTGAATAGTTGTTGGTCAGCAACTTTCCATAAATGTCACACAAGAACAGAGTGACAGATGAGTGGATCCTGAGGTGTACCAGGAGGTACCATTTGTTGGGGAAGCCTTTACCACATTTGTAACACTGAAAATGCTTGGGTTTGTCTGCATGACTTGCTTGTTGGTGTGTGACCATGTGAGATTTGCACGAGAATGCTTTGTTACACATTTCACACTGATGGGGCTTTACACCAGTGTGGACATTCATGTGATGCTGTAATTCGTGGTTGGTACAGTATCCTTTACCATACAACTGACACTTGAAACGAAATACACCAAAATGTCTCTTTTGATGCGCCTCGAAGTATGCCCTGCATATAGTAACATAAGTAGAGATATCACAGATATATTTCTTATTTCCTATGTGGATCTTTTTGTGTTTTGTTACTTCATATGACCTTTTGAACTTGCAAGTGCTGATATCACATTCAAAAGGATGATTATCACTGTGACTTTTTTTTTTGATGTGTGAGCAGCTTCTTTGATACACATTCCTTGCCACACACCTCACATTTATGTTGCTTACTGATGTTGTGGTGTAGTTTCATGTGAACTTCTAGCCTCACTCCTGTTATGAGCTGTGCATCACAAAGGACACAGATGTGTGGATGTTTTATGTATATACTTTGATGAAGTAGAATTTCATCCATGGAAAACAGTTCTCCACAAAGTTACACATCTGCATTTGTTCACTCTTAAAACCAGGCCCACAAGTTTGCAAAACCTTGCTCTCCATGTTGCTTTAGTTGTTGCTCTCACTGTATAAATCTTTTGCTGATCTGAAAGACAAAAAAAAAAAAAAAAGTATGTGTGTTTATTTAATCAAACATAGGAATGTGCTGTTATTTAAGACTATATAGCAATGCAGTTTAAACAATACATAAAACACATCACTGTACTTAAGTGAAAAAGTTTTGATGGCTTTGCATTCCTATCAAACCCACACCCCATCCTTACTGTCACTGGGCCACAACTTCCTCCTGTCTCATTCGCCATAAAAGTGGCATCTACCATACACTGAAATAGGAATTCCACACACATTTTCTTATCTCTGAAAGCTGAAATGATTTTTACATTTTAGCTGCAAAAACGAAAGGATGAGATACCACATGAATCCCTATCTGTGACTATGGCTACTTAACTGCGGTGGCTTGGGCTTCAAAGGAGGGCAGAAGGACTGTTGTTATTAGAGATTTGATTCTTACAAATGAAAAGAGAACTAATTTCTGTATATACAAATGCTCAGCGCTTCAACAGTGGATGGTGTATCTAGACATTCTTGTTTAATAACAGATGACTGAAAACACAGTAGAAACGATACATATGCACAGCCATAAAATTTTATCCCTGATATCTGAGAGTAGGTTTTGGTTTTGAGACATCTTTGTGGAACTCTTCATCACAACTCTGAGTGAAGTGATGTAAGAAGAAAAATACCTGACTTAATACTACCAGGTATCTACTGTGGCTTGTAAAATGGAAAGTGATTTTTGGCAGTGAATTTGATTCCCATTTGAGTGTCCATAGTTCAAACCCTGGCTGAAAACTGCCTACATGGCAGAGAATTCCAGGGGTACTCTGCAACTACTCAAAATAAATATTGGAATGGAACCCTAAAATAGGCCATGATTGCTTATTCCAATATTTTTCTTAGTAGACAGTTAATACTGAATTTTGTAGATATTATATATACTTGTTCTTCATTCTACATTTTCCAATGCAACACACTAAAGAAGTCTGTAATTCATACAGATTCCCTAATACTGTTGAGAACGTGAAACATTGCTCATACGGGGGACAGGGTTCAAATTTTGGTGGGGAAATTTCTTGCAGCGCCACTGCTGGGAGGACTATAAGGTGGAAAAAGGGCACTATTAAAATAAACTTTACGGGACATATATTGAAGATGTAAATCGGTCAAAATCCCTCTGGATAATGTACGAGGGTCGTACTGAAAGTCATGAGCAACAATTTTTTCTAAAGTAACATGCTTTATTATTGACAAACCAAATACACCACCTCAATCTACATACCTTTCTTTATTTTTCCACATAATTGCCACTTCTTTGTACACTTTTCTCCCAGCATTCTGGGAGTCTGAAAATTCCCTTTCTGTAAAATTCTATTCCAGCCATCCGAAGACACTGACACACTGCTTTCCAAATTGCCTCCCTTGTCTCAAAACGTTGTCCACACAGCTGATCCTTCATAAATCTGAAAAGATGGTAGTCAGAGGGTGCCTGATAAGGGCTATAGGAGGGGTGTGGAAGAACTTCCCAACCCAGTTTTGCAATCGCTTCCAATGTGAGGCGAGTGGTGTGGGGGTGAGCGTTGTCATGCAGGATGATGATGTTTCGTCCCAGACGTTTATTGCGCAATGCACGACGGAGCTTGTGCAGCGTCTGGACATAATGAGCAGCACTGATGGTTTGCCCAGGTTCCAGGAATTCGGCCAGAATAAACCCCTCTGCATCCCAGAGCTTCAGAATACCTCCATCCTCGCCACCAAGACCTGCTATATGGATTGCATCATTAGGGAAGCCATTGAGATTGAAATCCATCCCCAAAAAATATGAACAGAGAGGGGGGGTTTTGTCTCAGCAAGTCATGGAAGCCTCTCATCTGTTCTCTTAAAAAACCCCCCTGGGATATGACGCCAGATCCAGAAGGCTACACAGGCCATGACCGACTAACATAACAACCCCCACCCCATGCCACCCCCCAGCTTAAGGGTTAGTGCCCAGCCTTTAACCTTGCCTTTCTTTCCCCCAACACAAAACCCTGCTNATACGTTCCTCCGAAACGTCGGTTAACACCAGAATCCCAGAAGACTGCTCTCTTCAAGAGAGAAGTTGATGATCTGTGCCAAGATGAAGAGAGTTCCGAAGATGTCAGCACCTTGTCCCGTGCAACATATACAACTATTCATAGCTTGTGTGGAAAATCTGACTATACAAGGGAGTTGCAGTACTATTGCATTATATGTTCAGGATCAGATCGAACTCAATGCAGTTCAGCGGACACTATGGTAAATTTCAAGTGCAATTTCTATGCATAAGTGCTTCAAGTGCAACTTCTGTTCTGAGTATATTTTTGCATTAAGTTAAAGGTAGTGTGACCAGATGCTTCTTCTTGTTTGAAAGTTAGTGTCCTGGCCATGGGGGGCACCCTCTCTGACAAGAGGTCAGGTTTGTCATTTGTCAGTAATAGTCTGTAGTATTAGCCCATTGTCAGTATGTACAATTATTTACAAGTTTACAGTTATTAACTGGTGTTACGTACAATATATACAAGGCTCTGTCAGTTCAGACTCAGTACAGCAGACAATGCCCTATTTCTAGTAATATCCGCTACGATGGCAGCCTAGTCACTTGGTAAGCTTGACCGCCACCAAGTTTAGGTTTCTTATATTTTCTATGCCGGGCTTCTCCTTGTCCTTGTGAACATTTTCATTATCATGATTTTGTATGACTTTTGCTTGTTGCCTGCATAATTTTGTTATATAATCATAGACGTATGGAATTTTGAAAGCCATGTGTAAATCGTCCCACAATCTAGCAAGAGCAGGCGATATTTATACACTACAGCTTGCAACCTGGCTGTCTGTACAGCCACACAAGCGCTACCCAATCAGCAGTCACCATAGCAGTTCCAACATCCATTGGTTAGTGTGGCGCACAGTGGCAAAAGTATAAAGAGGCAGGCACCCAACATGCTAGTATCAGTCAGAGTTGCATCCAGAGATCACCGCAGGAGTGACTCTGCTAGCGACTGACAGCGGTAAGCAGGCCCACCAGCCGGTCTCGCCGCTACAGCCAGAGCTTTGCTCAGTATCTGCCGGCTCGCAATCATCAGGATGCTACAAGGGCTACAAGGAAGCACGCCGCACTGGCTAGCTCACTGGAATGAGAGCTTCATACCTGCACTGGCTAGACCACTGCAATGAGAACTTCGGTGGCTAGCTGGCCTTGCCACCAGCAGCACCGATTACCTACTAATGCAAGAGTTTCATCTGGCTTCAGACAAATGGCCTTTTACAGGGTCTTCAGTATCACCATCATCACTAGCCCAGGCTAGCCCGGTCAAAGGGAGTCTTCACTGGTATCATTCAGACAGGTTCCCTGCTTGTCTGAAATACCCTTTCCAAGAGCAGTAAACATGTTACAGTTTTAAGTGGTTGTCTCTGTGAGCGTCGATATTTCACAGTACATATATGCAAGAACAGTGTTGAGGAGAATATTTTTTTTCTGAAGAGAGATGAAATGATAAGTGGGAGAAAGCTGCATAATGAGGAGTTTCATAATTTGTACTGTTCTCCAGTCATAATTAGAATGATCAAGTCAAGGAGGACGAGATGACAGGGCATGTAGCATGAATGGGGAAAGAGGAATGCATATAGGATATTGGTGAGAAAGCCAGAAGGAAAGAGACAACTAGGAAGACCAAGACGTAGGTGGGTGTACATTATTAAAATGGATCTTAGAGAGAGAGGATGGGATTGTATGAATTGGGTTGATCTGGCTCAGAACATGGATCAGTGGAGGGCTCTTGTGAACACGTTATTGAACATTCTGGTTCCATAAACTGCTGGGAAGTTCTTGAATAGCTGCACAATTGGCAGCTTCTCAAGAGGGGCTCAGCTCCATGAGTGAGTGAGTGATACACGATAGAACCATTTATTGTATTCTGTATTCCAGTGGTCTGACAAATTTTCAGATGAACAGTTACCATGGGCTATATAATACTATAATTTCTTTTACACTTGCTCTACATCCCCCTTGGGCCTTGGCCTGTGACTTTTCAGTTTCATGATCATTTACAGACAGTAGGACTCCTTGGACAAGTGATCAGCTAATTGCAAGGCCTCTACCTAACCACATGGAAACACCAACACAGAATAGACACATACACATACCAAACATCCATGCTTTGTGGGATTCAAACTCACGATCTCAGCTTCAGAGCAAGTGAAGACAGTAAATGCTTTAGACCGCTCAGCTACCATGAGCAGCATATAATACTATAATAACACAGTATAAAAACTTATGCAAATTGTCATATATGCCTAATGATGGCCTTCTATGGTTGAAACATGTTGAATTTACATAAGCACAGACTAAGCTGAGATTCAGCCTCTAACCTGTGAAGCTGCACTGAAGGCTTTATTGTGTGTATATTTCAAGATGATGGTATGTTGATTAATTTGTAAATTACCATACTTAACAATGATGTGTCAGCAAAGTGCTATGAAAATTAGATTGAGGTGGCTGAGTATAATGGAACATAGCTGATGAGGGTAACAGTGACAAAACCAGTTCAAATATGGTTATGTTCACAATGGAAGGGAACTGAACTCAGGTCTGCTTGGTGGATGTTCTGCATTATAGATACAGTCCCAACACAGCAGTGAGTTTTAAGATGAAAAATTTGTAACAAAATCTCAACAGATCAGTTTTCCAAGAGCAGATCATTTTACTTTTATAATTTCTCAATTTTAAAAGAACTAAAAATTACAATATAAATACATGGGTTATAATATTAAGAGCTGGTTTCTCTATTTTTGAAACTTGGCCCCTCACTGTGAGGGAAGAACAGGGAGAAAAATTAAAAAATAAGGAGGTGAACTGAGATGTGGAGAAAAGAGCACAAAATGAGAATACATGACATATCTTACATCTATCAGGATATTAAATCAAATATGTTACAAAGAGGCCAGGCAAATAATATGGATTGGAGAAAGATAAAATTTCTTTTGGGATACATTGAGCAGAGGCAAGTTGGGAGAAAGAATAAATTTTGGGATAATACTGCAATGAAAAGAAGGATTGGTATGAATTGAATTGAGCTGGATGAATATTCAGTAGCTACTAGATTTATTATAGAAGTGATTAACTTTCAGGCTGTACAATATCAGCAAGCAAATTATTTTGTTACATGGCATATGGACACATAAATGAGTACGAGAATATAACAAAGAATGCCTGACCAAGAGGTCAGAAAGTCAGTTTCACACTTAGCGGTGAATATGTTAAAACTATGAAGAAAGCAGTCTTCTGGGATTTGGCACCGTGTATATGTGGTGTTAACCGACGTTTCGGAGGAACGTATCGCCCCCATCTTCAGGGTAGAAGAAAAAGTATAAGAAATCTGNATGTTTGGAAAATAAAAATATTTCATTGAGAGAAGCAGCAGCTTTTGTCATGACTCCTCTGGTGGGTGCTGAGCAATGTCTTGGACACAAAGCCCTTGTTGCATATCTGACACTGATAAGGTCTCTGCCCTGTGTGGTACCGTTTGTGCACAACCAAAGTGGAGCGCTGTGTGAATGACTTGCCACAGATATCACACGAGTGGGGTTTCTGTCCTGTATGGGTGAGCTGATGCACTTTCAGAGTGAAGCTCTTAGTGAATGCCTTCCCACATACAGTGCAGATGCAGGGTTTCTCACCGGTGTGTAAGCGTCTATGCAGTTTCAGGGAACGGTTGTTGGTCAGTGATTTTCCACATACATCGCACAAGAACTGAGTTTCACCTGTGTGGGAACTGAGGTGTGACATTAAGTTCTTCTTATAAGGGAAGCTCTTTCCACATGTCTCACACTGGAAGCGCTTTGCATCCTTCTGCATATCTGGGTGGTTTGTCCGTTGATGAGTGAGCAGGTTGGCCTTGTATAAGAATGCCTTGCCACATATGTCACACTGATGGGGTTTTTCACCTGTATGGACATTGCTATGTGCCTGCAGTTCAAAATTTGTATAGAAACCCTTACTACATAAGTGACACTTGAAACGGAATTCACTGAAATGTCTCTTGTGGTGAATCTCTAAGTAAGCTTTGTACATGGTAGCATAGCCACAGATATCACAAACATGACTCTTTGTACCAGTGTGAACTTTCTTGTGACCTGTTAGTTCATACTTCCGTTTATATGATTTATTACAAATCTCACACATATATGGACGTTCTTTAGTGTGTGTTTTCATGTGGCTTGTGAGCTGTTTGTTTGATAGAAATACTTTTTCACAAGTGGCACAGTTGAATACTTTTGGAGATACGTGTGTCTTTATATGGAAATCTAGCTTTGCTGTGTTCTTGTATATCTTGCCACATGTAGAACATGTGGTATGATCTGATGACTCACAGCAGTTCTTGTGGAGAACATGATGCCTGTTCTTGCTTCTATTGACAGGTTCACTGTTGGATTTTGTTTTGAGGACACGTTTTTCCTTGGAACCCCTTGGTCTTTCACCAACACACTGATTGCCGGACCTAGAAATAGAGATATATATATATTGATCCCTCTGCTTCCATTAATTACTTGTAAACAGTGTAAATTTCAAATTCAACTCAATAGGAAGATCTGGCTTAAACATATAATACTCAGCTGAACAGTAATTCCCTACTATTATGAGACATGACCATCATCACACGAGCCTGGCATTATACCATACCCTCAGTAAGTTAACATCCCTGTAATATATTCCCTTGAAGTTATTTTCCCATCTATGAGTAGATCTCTGAAATATGAATGGCTGAATGAATGAATGAATGAACTTATTTACTGCCTGCTATATACATCAATGCATGCTGACAGATGACCTCCTGGTCTTTTTGGCAGGCACCGAATACTCAGTTTTACAATACCATTGTGGGAGCCTCCCAGCATGAGGCAAGCTCTACCAAATCTGCGCTTGCCATGGCAGTTCTGACACCCCTTGTGTAGCGAGCTGCCTATCGGCAAATATGAGAGCTTCGCTCAGCAACCAGCAAGCATGGCCGACTTCCGACAAATGGTCATTTTCAGGGACAACAACATCAACGCCATCACTAGCTCAGGCTAGCCCACTACAAAAGGAGTTTCCGCCGTTATTCATCAGGCATGGCATGCTTCCTTGCTCATCTGTAACATTCATTCTAACAGAAATAAACATTTGTTGTAGTTTTATGTGCTTGTCTCTCTGCGCCACCGGATTCAACATCCCACATTGATGACCCCATGAAAAATGGAGGCTGCAGAGAGGTCACTGCCATCACAGGCATCCAGAGTGGCCGTGCGGCTTCCACTGTTCTGGGATGAGCGGCCAGCTGTGTGGTTCATCCAGTCCGAGGTGCAATTTATCTAGGCTGGCATCAGCAGCGAGAAGATCAAGTTCTGCCAAGTGATCTCGCAGCTTGACCACTGGTATGTCACAAAGGTAGAGAACATTATCACCTTTCTGCTGGATCAATACCCCTACACCACACTGAGGACTGAGCTCACTAGGTGGCTGTCCTTGAGAGAGCAACACATTCACCAGCTCCTTAGGCTCGAGGTGGGAGACCGTAAGCCATCCCAGTTTCTGAAGCACCTCAGGGACTTTGCCCCAGAAGTGCCGGATGACTTCCTCTGAGATATCTGATCCAGCCGGCTACCCCCCCACTAAACGTAGGCCCATTCTCACTGGCCAGCAAGAGGGTAGCTTGAAGGCCGCAGCCCGCTGTGCAGACTGCATCTCCAAGGTTGCATCCCAGCCGGCCCTCGCTAGTGTTGGTCCAACTACTGACAACACCACACTTCTGCAGGTGATCGAGGACCTCTCACGTCAGGTGACAGCACTCGGCGCCGAGCAAGACTGCTTTTGCAACAGCTTCAAGGACCCTCAGTTCAGCTTCAGGGATGTCCCCCAGGAACCATCGCTCGGGTAGCACATCCTCTTCCCGAGATGACGCTGCATACACCCTCTGCTGGTATCATCACCGCTTCGGAGGCCGAGCGTAGAAGTGTACTCCAGCCTGCGCCTGCCCCCAGTAGGGAAACTAACCAAGTGGACATCAACAGCGACACTTGTGTGCGCAACCACAGGCTTCCTTTTTGTCACCGACAAGATTAGTAAATGGCAGTTGCTGGTCGACACGGGTTCCGCGACCTCTGCGTGTACCCCCATGGGCTCATTCCGCGACGCAAGGAACAGGTCAACTACGACCTCTGTGTGGCTAATGGCACTACAATCCACATCCATGGATGGGTACCCATCAACCTCAACCTGGAACTTCGTTGAGATTTTATGGGGCAGTTCCTGGTGGCCGACATCATATATCTCATTGGTGTGGATTTTCTCTGATTTCGGCCTTCTGGCGGACTGCCGAAACAGAAGTCTACTGGACGCTAGCTCGATGATCCCCAGCCTCAACACCATCACTGGGGGCACATCGGTAGACAGCCTCCTAGCCGAATTCTCGGTTCTCACTCGACAGCCGAAGTCCAGCGCAAAGTGCACCACTACACTCTCCAACACATCTGGACTATACCAGGCCCACCAGTTATTTGCTGGACACGGCAACTGACACCGGACCAGCTCGCTATTGCCAAAGCTGAGTGCTATGCCATGTTCCAGAAAAGCACAGCTCGCCGCTCAGAGAGTCCCTGGTTTTCTGCCCTACACACTATGCCCAAGAAGGAAACCGGTTGGAGTCCATGCGGTGACTACAGAGCACTAAACATCCGGATCATCCGCGACAGCTACCTTGTCCGCCATATTTATGACTATTCCCACCATCTTTTCAATTGTTCCATCTATTCCAAGATCGATCTGGTGACAGCATACAACAAAATCCACTTCCAACTCCACGATATATAGAACACCACCATTACCAGAGCATTCAACTGATTCGAGTTCACCTTCATGTCTTACGGCCCGCGCAACGCCGCCCAGACTTTCAACACTTCATGGACAACTTTCTGCGGGGCCACAACCTCTGTTTCACCTACTTGAATGATATCCTTGTCTTCTCCCAGACACTCGAGGAGCATGAACAACATATGCGGGCTCTCCTCAACCAACTTCAGAGGTATGGAATTATAATCAACCCGGTCAAGTTCGTCTTTCGAGCACCCGAGGTCACCTTCCTCGGTTATAAAGTGTCCGCCAAGAGTTCCCAACCTCTGGAAGAATGAGTGACCCATCTCCAGCACTGCTACCCTCCTAAGACTGTCAGTTAACTCCGTCAATTTCTCGGCATGCTGAAATTCTATAGGCAATTTTTGCCCCACGCGGCAGCCCAGGAACCACTGCACGACCTTCACGCCAGCCCCGGAGTCAAGAGCTCTGACCCCATCACCTGGATGCCGGAACTCCTCAAGGCCTTCGGAAAGTGCAAGGAGAGTTTGCAGCGCGCCACTTTACTGGCACAATCCGATTTATCCCTGTCACTTGTACTTGTAACAGATGCCTCCACATCCGCCATGGGTGCCGTGCTGCAGCAACGCGTCGAGATAGCTTGGCAGGCCTTCGTCTTTTCCTCCAAGAAGCTCAACCCAGCCAGGCAGAAGTAGAGGGCCTATGACAGCAAGCTACGAGCCATCTATGAGGCCGCAAAGAATTTCCTCCATATAGTGGAGGCACGCCATTTCATCATCTTCACCGACCACAAGTCGATCGCATACCCTTCGTGGAGAAGAGGAACAAATGTTCACCGCGGCAGTTCAATAATCTAAACTTTGTCTCCCAGTTCACGATAGACATACGCCACATTTCTGGGCAGTAGAACGCCCTCTCTTGCGTTGAGTCCGTCACTGTGCCATCATCCTATGACGCACTCGCCGCATCGCAGGACTGTGATGACGAGCTTCGAACACTCCTGGGGCCAACCACCGCCATGCAGATCGAGAAGCTACCAATCCCCGGTACTACGGTCTCCATCTACGGTGACATATCTGCCGGGAGATCTCGAATGTACGTGCCACCTCTCCTATGGCCCCAAGTGTTCAGCCCGTCCATGATTTGTCGCAGCCACGCACCAAAACATACAGCACTTTTTGTGGTCAAGCGTGCAGAGGGATTGCGGGACATGGATAAAAGCTTGCCAGTGCTGGCAGCTCTTCAAAATCTCCTGCCGAAGTCACTCCATTGGGCAGGTATACACTGCCGGCAGCCCGTTTTCTTCAAGTCCTCATAGACCTCGTGGGGCCTCTTCCGGCATCAGATGGCTACACATACTGCCTCAATGCAGATGACTGTTTCACCCACTGGCTGGAAGTCGTCCCCATCCTGGACATCACAACCGATACCGTGGCACGCACCGTACTGATCGGCTGGATATACCGCTTCGGTTGCCTGCAACCATTACCACCGACCCGGGACGTCAGTTTGAATCTCAATAGTTAGAATCCCAGGCCAAGCTGTGTGGCATTCAGCCCTTGCGGACGATCGCCCACCACCTGGTGGCTAATAGACTCATGGAACGCTCCCACCGGATGCTGAAGGCAGCCATCATGTGGCATGCGGACCAACAGTGGACAGAGGCACTTCCCCTGGTTCTCCGCGAAGTCCGCTTGGCATTCAAAGTGGACCTGTAGGGATCAGTAAATAAGCTAGCGTACTGCGAGTCACTAACAAAGCCACCACATAGCCCGCCTCAGACAAGGTCCGGAAGCATGCCGTGGCTGCCCTGCTACATTCATGCATGGCAACCTCGACAATTTCACGCACATCTACCTCTATCAGGACAACAACACACCGGGCTTTAGAGCTCCCTACAGTGGTCTTTACCAAGTACTCTCACAGAGAGAGAAGACATTGCAACTCCTCATGTGCTGGAGGTCCATCACAGTATCAACTGATAGGGTCAAGCTGGCCTCCAGCCTCAATAGGATTGATGGCTGGAACAAAATCTTCAACCCTCCAGTTGACGCAATCCCTGTCATAGTATTGTCTGCCACGCTGCCACAGCCTACCGCAAGAACTACGCACTCCAGCTGCCCCATTCATTTCCTTGCTCGCTTCAACATCTGAGCAAACATCTACAGGGGGTGGGAGGTGATGTGGGAACCTCCCACAGTGAAGGAAGCGCTACCCAATCAGTGCTCATACCACGGCAGCTCCAACGGCGATAGGTTAGCACGCCACCTATCGGCAAAAGTATAAAGATGCGGATGTTCATCACATATATGATGTTGATTATTAAGTAATATATATTTAGAATTAAGAATTATTAAACGTTATTCTTCGTTGCAGTAACCAGCTATTCACTGAAATATATTTATCTGAGATATATTTGTTGATGTTAGATCTTGCTGTGCTGCATTCTTTTGTTGCAGCATGGATATTTTGTGTTATTTATGCAGTTCATACAGATGTTGGCATAGTGTTAGTATATTAATGTTATATATGCAAAAGTGACTTGTAGATCTTTTGATGCTGTTGACCTCATTTTATTGTTGCTTGCATTTTGAAATTTAAATTGCATTGCACCATAGCCTCCTGCAGTTATGAGGCTCAGTACATATCTAAATATGAGTTCCTTTAGGAGTAATACTTTTGAAGTTCCACATATTTATTTTTGGGGATAAAGATTTTACTATAATAACGAGATGAAAATGATGACTCTTTCTTTGTTTCACATCTGAAAGCACTTCTCCGCAACAAACTTTTATTAAAATATAACCACTATTACTTTAACGGCATATATTTGTATGGTTTAAGATAAGCAAGTTCATATTGTGTTTAATATAATTTTTACTGTAATTAAAACAATACACAAAACGATGGGTACTGTCTTCCAGGTTGTAATACAGTCAGGAGAAAGTCAACGTTTTGGAGGAACATGCTGCCTCCACCTTCATGATGGAGGAATAAGCAAAACAGGAAATTAACAAAAATAGGCAGCAAGAAAGACTTGTGAGTTTCTTGCTTGACCTGCATTTAAACCTTGAAGAAGGGGGGTGATATGTTTCTCCAAAATGTCAGGCTGTCGCTAAGCTGCATGATATTGCAGCCCAGGAGACAGTAAATGCCACAGTCACTGTTGTGATAAGCTCAAATCCAATACACATACTTCTTTATTCTAATTTTTTGCACCAAATTATGGTATACACAACACAGCATGACCTGAAAAATTGGATGACACTAAAGAATCCTATTCTTCAAACAATGGAACCATGACATGGCATACATTCATCTTCCTTTAAAGAGAAGTGAAAAGGACACGAACCAAATTGGTTCTAGATTTTACCAAAAAGTTTTTTAAACAGTGCTTTGTAAACAGACTAATTATAAAGAAAGCAGTCTTCTGGGATTTGGCACCGTGTATATGTGGTGTTAACCGACGTTTCGGAGGAACGTATCGCCCCCATCTTCAGGGTAGAAGAAAAAGTATAAGAAATCTGCAAGCGACAACAGTCTGCTTTACCGTTTCTCACGGTGTTGTCGCTTGCAGATTTCTTATACTTTTTCTTCTACCCTGAAGATGGGGGCGATACGTTCCTCCGAAACGTCGGTTAACACCACATATACATGGTGCCAAATCCCAGAAGACTGCTTTCTTCATAGTCACCGCCGTGAAAGCCTCAAATCTTACATAGTGTTCCTCTATGGGGAGGCTACTCAACGACACATTCGTAGAATTTATTGTCTGCTTTACCGACTCTCACGGTGTTGTCGCTTGCAGATTTCTTATACTTTTTCTTCTACCCTGAAGATGGGGGCGATACGTTCCTCCGAAACGTCGGTTAACACCACATATACACGGTGCCAAATCCCAGAAGACTGCTTTCTTCATAGTCACCGCCGTGAAAGCCTCAAATCTTACAGACTAATTATAATAATTTATATATGTTTTAACAAAGTCACGTACATCACAGTAATTGTTACAGAATAATAGTTTACATCTATGACATTGTAATATAAATTTCTGTAAGTACTGATAATGACCAATAACATTGTAGTAGTTTCCATATGTACTAATAATGTCCTTCTGAAGATGGTTGCTACGACCAAAACATGTAAAGGATGGAAGTTAAAAAGAAAACACAACATTTATCAGTCACACTGGATGGCATTAATAATCTTTTACACTAATGCCAGTGTGATGGATTATGATGAACCAAGTGAAATTTAACAAATGCCCTGTTAACAATTTATGCAGTGGGTCCTTGTACAAGAATGAGATGACTGCATGAAAACAAAAAGTTTTGTCATTGTAGTTAAAAGGGAATCTACTTAAATCAGATTCTGTAACCCCTAGAGTTACTGAATAGGCTCCTTTCTGCCCAGACAAAGTCATTCCCTATTTTAACTTTTATATATTATCATTCATACAGAGCAAACTATCATAAGCCTCACTGTTAACAAAGCAGAGGTTGTAGCTGATCTCAATACTTACCTGAAAGAAAACATTCAGCATCCCCTCATGAAGTTCAGCTCAATATTGTAGTATAGAAAAATAATCAATGTTTATTCTGAGAACCAAAGAAAGCTACAAGAATATTCCTTGGACAAAATGTGAAATTTTATATGTTAAAACAGTGGCATAAAAGAGTGTACTATAAAGGCTTAAAGTTGTAAGATTTGAGGCTTTCACGGCGGTGACTATGATGAAAGCAGTCTTCTGGGATTTGGCACCGTGTATATGTGGTGTTAACCGACGTCTCGGAGGAACGTATCGCCTCCATCTTCAGGGTAGAAGAAAAAATATAAGAAATCTGCAAGCGAAGAGGCCATGAGAACCGGTAAAAGCAGTCTGTTTTACTGGTTCTCATGGTCTCTTCGCTTGCAGATTTCTTATATTTTTTCCTCTACCCTGAAGATGGAGGCGATACGTTCCTCCGAAACGTCGGTTAACACCACATATACATGGTGTCAAATCCCAGAAGACTGCTTTCATCAAGGCTTAAAGTTGTTTAAATTTGTGATCACTCAAAGATTTAAGCTGATTTACATTATTCATGTAGTTACTGTTACAATTTTAAAAAATGTTCTCTGTGGTTTTAGGATAACCTTTAAAATAAATGTTCTCTTCTTTGTTTGAAAACAAAGACAGCAGTTGTTTGCATAATGTAAAACTGCCACAGCAAAACAGTTATACCAGATTCAATAAGACCCTCTTCTCCAAAGGACAGCACTCTACTAGCAACTTGGAAAGCTGGTGCTGATGGTAAAGGCACAAGTAATAAGTCATATGAAGAAAACTGATTCAATAATATGTTCTCTTTTAAGTGTCTTTTTCCAGTAGCATTTAAATCTTTATTATGGGCAAACTTGAACATCTAAGTCAGTTATATATTACAGCAATGGGAGTGAAACTACGGTCATATAAAATTATTTAGTTTCTCTGCAAAATGGGTGAGCAAAAAAAAAAGAATGTGACTGAAGAATTAAGTGAGTAAGGGACGAAATTTTAAAACATGTCTTCTGATATATCTGATGAATGGTACGAGCATGTCTTGTTACATAAATGATGAATAAATCATGTACAAGAAAAATTATTTCCACCTAAACAGACTNACATCAGCCTAATTAACTGTCTGCCTGTTCTATATAAAACACTGGTTTACTGTGCTATGAACCCAGTTCTATTCCAGGAATTTAAGTTATAAATGAACTTTTAGTACATCTGAAGGAACATAGCACTTCTAATGTTGCTGTGCTATACTGTGTTAGATGGGCATTCACATTCCACATAACATAGATAAGAAATTTGAAATTACTGACAATAATTAGATTTTTGTGCTCTCTTAACTGTTCAAATTTAATTTATTCATTGAAAAAACCTTAATAAGATACATTTTGTGATAATCTATGATCATAACGTTGGTAACACCTGAACCTGTAGCCTTAAGGAGGGAGCAATGAATCATGTGCAGCCATTGCTATCAATAGGTGAATGAACAACAGTGTTATGCAACTCCTTTCTAGGCAAAGGATTGGTAAACATGTTCCCATGGCAACAAATAAGCACACAACAATAGAGTTACTCATACTTTTGGAAATGGTGTTTTCTACTCGGTCTGTGCAAAGTGGTTACATGGAAGACAATTGGGGCAACCCAGCTAGTATAAGAAGCTTAATCCTGGCAGTGGTAAAGCTTACAACCGTTCAAACAACTAAGCTGCCGTTGTAGCATAAGATATGTAAGTTAGGCATGATCTGCTCTGTAAAACCTGTACTGACAGAGGACTTGTGTGTAGTGCCTATGAGGGAACCGCTTGAGATGAGTGGCCTTAAAGAGGGAGCAGTGAGGGTGGTTGGAGAGTAAACATGGTGAAAACTGAGCCATTGGGAGGAAGATGACACCAATCACAGATGTTGTAAGCACAGCCCTCAGAAAATAAATGGTGACACGCATGTAGGCCATTCGGAACAAACAGCCTTAAGGAAGGGGAAATGCAGTGTGTACATCCAATGCTATGCCACTGGTGAATAAACAACGATGTTACCCAACCCATTTCTAGGCAAAGGATTGATAAAGATGTTCCCATGTCAACAAATACACACACAATAATTACTGTTGGAAGTGGTGTTTTCGGGTGACCCAGTTAGTTGTCACTTGCAAAAGTGAGTTGAAAGTCAGCATGTAAAGAGAAGACTAGGAGGTTGGTGTGAAAAGGCCTCCATCCTGGGAGTTGAGAGTTGTTAGTTGTGAGTTGAGTTATGCACGGGAGGCTGTGGCTGAAGAATTTCCACTGTTAGAAACCATTGCCAAGGAATGGCAGGTGAAGACACAGCAGGCTGGAAAAAGGCTGTGATTGTTTGTGAATTGTGGGGAGATTTTCAGTAGCACTGTAACTGCTTGTAGTTCTGGGTCATGTGGATAAGTGGTCAATAAATCAAATCACTAACACAAACCCCATCTATAGTTACCCATAAATTGTGACAGTACTTTGTATGACACAATGAATACCATGATTAATGACAAGACAATCATGAAGTTGATAGTACCCATCATTGAGCTTGTGATGTTATGCATTATGAAACTCAATGTGAAATATCAGTAACTGAGAACCAAAAACTTTTAAAAACTGAGATTAAATTTTCTTGGTCATTCTCCTTTCATGGATTGGGCAGCAGCTGGTGGAAACCTGTTGATGAAACTTGTAAAATAAATGGTTATGATATTTTAGTGTTGTAAATTTCAGGACAGACTGAGAAAAACCAGAATGGCTGAGAGTCAAGATGACTAACATACTACCCTAAATTTCACACCACAGAAAGGGGAGAAAGAAGAGGGTACCCAGTCAGATACAAGGCATTGCTTTATTAATGCTGTGTAAGTTATATGTGATGACTTGGTACTCTGGAAGTCTGAGGAAGATATTTCATAAATGTGAAGAGCACTTTACAATAATGTTAATTGGGAAATGACACAACAGGAAACACAGACAGTGTACTAAGATGCAGCAGAGCCTGTGTTGTGACAACANTTGTGAGACTGCTACAACCCCCCCCCCCCCAACAAATACTGTTGGATCACAGTACCTGCAATTAGAGGGTAAATCATATCTGAAGAAGTTAGAAGTAATCCCATACACTTGCATTAATGAGAGGCTGATCTGCACATGTTGAGTTCTATTGAATTCAGTTTCAAAATGATTCACTAATAAACATATTGTTAATAATTTTTCTAAAATGCCCTTAGTTCAAAGTGCATCTAAATTTGAAAAGATTAGCATTGTACAGAAAAGGCTTACAACCACTTTTTGAATTTGCTAAATAAGCATGAATGCCCCTTTTCAAATCCTTACTTACTTACCATTCATGATCAACTTTCCATATTATTCACTGCACAGTTAAAGCAGCATCATTACATATAAAAATTATCGTCTGTCATGTGCTCACTATTCTAAGATCCTTGTAGAGTCATTTACATGATGATCAAACAGACTGGACAGGTTGATTACTGCAAGTGGCATAAGGCAGCTAATGCTTCAGCTGTTCTGATTGCAGTCTTTGAAGTCCTCTACCTGAGTGGTGGGATGAAGATGTCTAAATTTTAGTGAATGCATAATATCAAATTGGAATAAACATGTGACTGGTTCATGATGTTCTTCAATGTTATATTTAATTTATCATACTATATAAAATGAGATAGCAGGATGATACTTTCTTTTTTAATGGTTAATATATGTAATGAAGCCTTTAGCATCAGTGCTGTATAATGTCATAAAGCAGTCCATGATTTATTTAAACCGTCTTGCAGTGCATACACTCATTTATCTCCTTCTCTCCCTCGCACTACATGTTTCGGCATAATAATGCCATCTTCAGGTGCTTACTTATCCACGCCAAACTAGTTCATTGCATGCCTTGTTCTCATATTAAAATAACTAAAATATGTATCTATCATATACATTGTCAAACGTTAAAAATATTAAAATTGTTCAGGATACCACATCGCTACGTCGCACCTCACTACGCCAGTCACGCCCATTCTNTATGCACTGCAAGACGGTTTAAATAAATCATGGACTTAAATCAGTGCAACAGGACGCTAAAATATAACAGTCATAAAGCAGGACGAACTGGAAATGATTTGGAATGAGGCGGCTGTGATTGAATCAAGACAGTATCCTGGCATTTTTCTAGGGGGACTAAGAAATGCCATGAAGCACTTCAATCATGACAGCCAGTGACTCAGATAAGATTTGAATCAAGCACATTTGAAATACGGGTTTTCTAGCCAAATCCATTTTGTATGATGATAAAATGGGATTTGGAAATTATGTGAGGAGGAGTGATATCAGCCACCTTCAGATCTGAAAAGCATGAGAAAAATCATGAACTCATTATAGCTCATTACACAAAATTCCTTGATCAGTATTTCATCCATATATATCCAAAAAACAAAATAATCATGGCGATGCTGAGGTATCCTGTTCATTTCTCTATTTGATGTTATAAAATTTAATGTAGTGTCAAGTTTTCCAAAACTTCTACCAACAACCAGCATAATCTCAGTTAAAATTTATTTGTGAGACTAAAACTGCATGGTTGATTTCAAAGACTGTAAGGTGATCTCATAACACTGGAGCAATTAGTACTTACAGGTTTTCTTTGTTTAATATTGTGTATGGCTGTATTATATTCAGTGTCAACCTTATAAGAAGCATAATAGTAAAAGATGAGAGATAGTCATAGTTATGTGAAGGCTGTGATATGTAGTGAGGATCAAGCATGCAGAAGTAAGTTTCAAAATTGATATTTGAGGTGGTAGCCTTCTATTTGGTGCTAACATGTGAATGAATGCAATTGCCATCATCAGTAACAAAATTCTGAGATGGATTTGAGGTTCTCACAGCAGTGGTTATGATGAGTTCTACCTTCTAGGACAGAACTCTGTACTGCCCATTTCTGAGGAACAAGTCGGTTGACTTTCAATGCACAACACAGTGTTATATCCTAAGAGATTCGCTTAGTGAGGGGGGGGGGAGTCCAACTGGGTCCACTTGGCATGGCGGCCACTGATTGGCCTATTGTAGCCTGCCCCTGGTGATTATGATGATGGAGCATTTGGTGGAATGAAGAGTGGCTGGGTAAACTGAAGTACTCAGAGAAAACCCGCCCCAGCACTACTTTGTCCACAACAAATCCCACTTGACCAGACCTGGGATCGAACCCAGGCCGTTGCGGTGGGAAGCCAGCGACTAACTGCTTGAGCTATGGCGCGGTCATCCCAAGAGATAGAACCCTTCAAAATTCTGAGAGTTCAGAGAAATTTCTGTACTCAGGAACCATATAAATAAAACAAGCATGTGTGAAAAGATAATAGGTATGTTGGACTTCTTTAGGTGTGAGATTTTTATGGTAATATTAAAGGCACATTAGTCTACACATATGTTGTTACAGGAATTTAATACATTTTTATTTTTCTAATGTTATGCCATTTAAACCTCATTGACACAATGTGTCAATTCTGAATCCTTTCTCAGCCTTCCTCCATAACTATATATACCCACCATTGGCCTCTTCAATTTCATCAGTTTAATGGTGACATTCAAATGCTACTGACTTCCAGAAATTTTTGGTCCAACGAGAGAAAGGCAGAGAGGAAGTCTTAATCACAGAAAGCAAGACAAGTACAATGTTCTTGAATATATGACAATAGGAATATCTAAAGAACTCAAATATATTTTAGAAACCACATTAAGAATGATAATTTTTAGACCAGTTCTTTTGAACATTTTGGCTGGGAGAGCATAATGTTTCTGTTAATTTGGTCATCTTGTAGCAGATGAAACATGATTTATGATTTAACTTCTTCAGTATGCTTTATAACTTACATTCCCTCCAAAAAAGTTATTGAAAATAGAAGTACAGTGTCATTCAAAATCTCACACAACCTACTTTTCTGCAACACAACGCAGAAAACGTTCAAAATAAGGCTTTAAACTGTCCATATATGCCAGTAACATGTAAAGCCTTTAACAGAAAAAGAAGAATAATTTATGAGTGCAATGGATATTCACTGTTCAACATTATTTCAATTATCAACCCTAAACAAACTGCCAGAATGTATATATACAGGTATCTCCACATTTGTATGACTCTGAAATAAATCAATTATATGTCATACTATTGATTAGTTTAATTAAATGTGTAGGATGAATGATGAGTGTACCTGGCATCATTTTGAGGCACTAAGTCAGATTCAACATACTCGTATTCAGTAATACAAATGTTGCAATATTATGGATAATATCTTTAAACCAAGACAATTAAAAAGAAGTAAAAAATGTTGCCCCACTAATGCACTGTGCAAATATTTGATCACTGTGTACTTTGCCAAAGAACTCTCATGAACTGGCTGATTCCCATTAGTCATGCTGTGCTCTTATATAGAAATATTCAATTCAGCACAATATATTTCAGTGAAGAATTTCATTGTTACAGGTGGAAGAAGCATGCCTGGTCATGAATCCTCTGGTGGGTGTTGAGCAATGTCTTGGACACAAAGCCCTTGTTGCATATCTGACACTGATAAGGTCTCTGCCCTGTGTGGTACCGTTTGTGCACAACCAAAGTGGAGCGCTGTGTGAATGACTTGCCACAGATATCACACGAGTGGGGTTTCTGTCCTGTATGGGTGAGCTGATGCACTTTTAGAGTGAAGCTCTTGGTGAATGCCTTCCCACACACAGTGCAGATGCAGGGTTTCTCCCCCGTGTGTAACCGCTTGTGAGCCTTAAGTGACATGCTACTGGAGAGGGCTTTTCCACACACATCACAAATGAACTTCAGCTCCCTCGTATGAGTATTCATGTGTGATGTCAATGAGCTGTTAAATGGAAAATTCTTACCACACACACTACACTGGTAATGCTTTGAGTCCTTTCCTGGATGGTTGCTTTTCTGGTGTTTCCACAAATTTGACTTGTACAGGAAGGCCTTACCACATATATCACATTGATGAGGCTTCTCGTTTGTGTGGAAATTCTTGTGTCCTTGTAACTCTGAATTTGTGTAGAACCCCTTCTTACAGATCTCACAATTAAACCTGAACTCATTAAGGTGTCTCTTGTGATGTACATCTAAGTTAGCTTTGTACAGAGTTGAAAACCCACATATGTCACATTCATACTTGTTATCTGCAGTGTGAACTATCTTCTTATGTCCTGTGAGCTCATATTTACGTTTGTAAGTTTTATGACAAACATCACATGTGTAAGGACGCTCTTTTGCATGAGTCTTTACATGATTTCTCAAGTGATGATTTGAGAAGAACATTTTATCACAGGCCTCACACTTGTGTTCTTTCAGAACAACATGGCTCTTCATATGTCGCTTTAATTCTGAGCTTGCATAGAAAACCATATTGCAGGATGTACATCTAAATTCCTTCAGAGGTCTGTGAATTTTAATGTGTGATACAAGTTTACTTTTCAGGGAAAAAGTCTTGCTGCATATTGCACAGGACAGTAAACTGTGAGTCTGCCTGTGGTAGATGAGATCCCACTTGTAGAAATTCTCTCCACATTCATCACATTTCATCATCTTCTCCTTGCTTCTGAGATTCTTCACAGACATTGTCTGACTCTTAACTCTGGGGGTGATTTTGTCCTTGGTTCTGAGTTCCTTGCCTCCAGATTTTCCAAAACTTGCAGACCTAGAAACAAGATAAATAAAAGTGATCCAGCTTATAAAAATAATACAGAGTGTTACTCAAATGCAATGCTTCATATGAGAAACTGAACACATTCAACAAGCAAGCCACCTCCCCTGCTACAATAAAATAACCTAGTTAACACAGCATAGGAGTTTCATTTTGTCTATGTATTCAGTCACACAACTGAGCAACTACGAGTGCAATGTTCAGGAAGCACTTTTCTCTTCAGAGGTGTTTTCACTGTAGATACTGAGGTTCACTCACTCACTCACTCACTCACTCACTCACTCACGGAGCTGAGCCCTTCTTGAGAAGCCGCCAATCGTGTAGCTACTCAAGAATTTCCCAGCATTTTATGGAACCCAAAGGTTCATTATCATGTTCACAAGAGCCTTCCACTGGTCCCTATCCTCAGCCATAACAATCCAATCTATACTATCCCATCCTATCTCTCTAAGATCCATTTTAATATTGTTCCCACACTTACACCTTGGTCTTTCGAGTGCTCTCTTTCCTTCTGGCTTCCCCACCAATATCCTATAAGATACTGAGGTTAGACATTAATAATACAACATGTCATGTACTAAGTCTACAGTTCATTGTAGAAACTGTGAATACTGTGCACCTCTCTGTATGAAATTTAAATGGGTACATGCCATCATGCACAAGTAGTTTGTATAAATGGAATGGAACAGCATGATGGTCACATCACACAGAAGTTACTATGCTTATTAATGGTATACTCTTCAGCAATATGACTCAAACAACACTGCTGTAATCTGCCAACATGAGAAAAAGCGATATATTAAAATATAAGCATAATTCACCCACCCCACATGGAAGTAATGAAATGAGGTATCAACTTGAAAAATGTAACAAATGACCAAGACAAATCAAATATCTATTGTGGACAAGGAGGGAACTTTCTCATAAAGTACAAATGAACATAAAATGGTGCAGTGTATGAGGTTCTCACAGTAAGTGGCTGTGAAGAGTTCTCTGAGTTACAGGTCACCTCAACTTACAGGGCTGAAGAGTAAGTCAAGCAAGTAACCAGCATCAAGCAGACAGGAAGCAGAGTCATTTCTTAACCCTGAAAATTGGGCCAACATGTTCCTCTGAAATTTCAATTGACTTCCCTTGGATTACATGGCATTATACCCCACAAGACAGAATTCGTCAGCATATAAGTGAATGTTGGTGATCCAGAGGACAGCATTCCTGGTTCATATTACAGAGGTGCCAAGTTCAAATCTCAGCCCAGAGACTGGATATCCTGAGTGAAGTTTCTCACAGTTTTCTTCTGTCCCTTCCAGAAAATTCTGAGGCAAGTAGTATGTCACATTAGGCCATGAAAACTTCCTTTCACATTCCTTGTAATCTATTATTCATTAATCATCCTATCACTTACTGTCGTATGATCTGACCTACTGACATCATCGACTGCTATGACTGATCCCCTTTGGGATCCACACAGCACACCACTATATTTATGCCATCTACTTGCATGGGTCTCACTCAGCAGGTAGTACACTTCTAGAATCCTATTATTTATGAACCAAAAACATATAGATTTACTAGTAGCCAACAGTAAGAGTCTCTAATAAGATGACACCTTCAGCAGGCAAGAACGTAAGATGCTTGTCAATATGGAGCTGGTGGCTATCGCATACCATAACAGGGGAAGGGGAGATTCCAGCAAACCAAGTCTTGGAGATGACATTAGTGGGCAGTGGGTTAAGAAACACAGAAGATATAAAGCATGCTATCTTCTGGGATATAATGCTGTGTAGTCTACTGAAAGTGAACCAATGTTTGAGAAAAATGTTGTCTCCATCTTCAGGGCAGTAGAGTAAGCCAAGCAAGAAACGAGCTTCAAGCAGGCATCAAGTAGAGCTATTCCTCAATCCTGAAGATGGACATGCCATGTTGTTTGATGTTCAATGAACTGCACAGTATTATATCCCAGAAGACAGAGCTCTTCATAACTACCACTGTGAGCACCTCAAATCTTACATGGAAGACAGAGTTGGACAAAGTCACAATTAGAGCCTATAGGAAATTGTGTACCTATAGAGGCATCTTGAGAAAGAAATGGGGACTTAACCCGAGACAGTTGTACTGGATATATGCCATGATGGTGTGTCCTGTAGTTACCTAGGCTACCATGGTGTGGTAGCCTACAAATCAAGTAGGGTTGGCCTATTGCTGATGTTTGCCTACTTGGGTATAACGAGCTATAAGGATAACCCATACTGCTGCAGTTGAGGTCCTTCTGTGACTCTGACCTCTACATCTAAAGTCACAGGCTGAGGCCCAGGCAGTAATTCACAGATGTTGCTGCAGTGGCTGCTAAGACCCACATGGTACTGGCATACTAATATGGCTTGGAATATGAAGAAGGAACTCATCTTGCTAGAGAAACAATTCATTGTCAGACTGGATTCCATTCTGGCAGAACTGGATAGCTAGTCTAGTACTTAGATGCTTCCAAAAGAAGTGAAGGCACTGGGGCCTACTTCAGATTGTAAAATACATTGCAGTACTCTGGGGAGAAATATGTGCCATCAAGGCATGTGGGGTAGAGAATATGGACAGGGGCTGTGAAAATAGAAATATCTGTACTTTACCAGACAGTCAAGCTGCAATCAAAGCATTTTACAATTACAAGATCAACCATATATTTATCTGGCAGTGCCATCAGTCCCTAATGAAACTGGTTGAATATAATAGAGTACAACTGGTTTCGGTGCCATGAAAATGGAGCACTGAAGGGAGTGAATCTGTCAGTGAACTGGCAAAGAAATCTGCAAACACTCAGCTGTAGGCCTATGGAATCTCAGACAGAGCTACCATGGAGGCCATCAGAGACTGGATAAACTGAATACAACAGGAGCAGTGGCAGTCCACATCTAGAGAGAAGTATGCAAATGACTTCCTTCAGGATGCTTCTACTGAAAGAATTAGGGGACTATTAGCTGAAAAGGAACCAGCTGAGACAAGTAATAGGACTGTAAGTAGGACACTGTCACTTGCAGGGTGAACTATTCAAACTGGAGCTAGTAAGCAGTCCCATCTGTGAAGGAAAAGCAGCCCCCAGACATCATGTGTTTTTGTGGGGTTCTATCTAAATTCAGATTTTGTCACCTGGGAACCTACTTCATGAAGCAAAGTGACTCTCATAAGGTCCCATGAAGCAATTTACTGTGCTTCAATCAAAGAGAACTGCTGGAGGGATACAATGAAGAAAGAGGATGCACAAAATATGGAAGATGGTCATTCACAGACAAACCCTCTAAACTAATATAATCTGCTGTCAATTAGGGCAGCATCAGGTTTGATAACCCCACACAGAAGACTCCTAAACTTGACTTTGATTCTTTGTACACTGATGAATAAATTATCTGCATATTTTTAAAAACTGTGACATTCAAATATGTATGTGATGAGTTATTGATTGAACATTAGATCTAGAGTCAGCTCAATTTCACTGTTTTTTCAGGACTGCCAAATATAATGTTACATAATATGAAGTGAATACAGATAGGGTTTTCGATAACTGGATTTATTGACTACTCACAGGTCACAACTACAAATAACTGTAACAATATCGCTGATTTCTGCACTTAACAAATCACCACAGCACACACTAAGCCTTTTGAGCCTAGTGTCTTCGCTAGAAGTTTCCTGGTAACAGCTTCTAACGTGGACTATTTCTCTGCCTTCAGGCTCAAGTCCTCTCTGAATCATGGCTCCCTTCCAACTGAACTATTATGCTTCAGTTGTCCTCCTTATAACCCCTTTGCACGGACTGAGTAGAGAACACCGTTTCAACAGTAATTCTATTATTGCATGCATATCAGTTTCTGCAGAAATGTGCTTACCAAACAGTTGCCTAGAAATGGATCTATGTACTTCAATATATAACAACAGGTCATTCCAACTTTAAAATAGATTAATGTGTTCCTTTTGAGTGGGTATATTCTGATGTTTGTTTATTGCAGATACAGATCTACTGACTAAATCTCATAATGCACATACACACAAATAACTTTCCAATAAGAATACACTGAAATCTGGATAAGACAATTTTCAGTACTGTGAACTCACACAAAGACCAATGCTGAAGATTTTCCATTCATGTGATATTTGTAATAAAAATTACAAATGTAAGTATCAGCTTAAAATACATAAGATTTTGATACTAAATAATGTTTGAAAGAATGTAAATCTTGGGAGCATTCGGTAGTGTAGTTGGTTGAGGCACTATGCTACGAGCCGGAAGGTCATGGGATCGAATCATTGGATTTCTTCAATTCACCTAATCCTTCCAGTCGCACTATGGCCCTGGGGTCAACTCAGCCTGTAACAGAAATGAGTATTGGGGATATTCTTGGGGGTAAAGGGTGACTGGTGTGTAGGGCTGACAACCTTACCACCATCTATGATTCAACTGTCCAGAAAATGTGAAAACCTCAAATTCTCACAACCCTATGGGCCTCCTGTCATAAATATATGCATGGATGCTGAATATTCTGGATTTTTTTTTTAGCTAGTGGGGTGGGACTAAGTCCCTTGTACTTTGGCCACTTCTGGCCTATTGTACCCGCCCCAGATGATAAGTGAGGGTGATTGTGGAGCAATTGGTGGAATGAAGATTGGCAGGGGAAACCAAAGTACTCAGAGAAAACCTGCCCCAGCACCATATTGTCCACCACAAATCCCACTTGACCAGACCCGGAATCGAACCTGGGCCATCGCGGTGGGAAGCCAGCGACTAACCACTTGAGCTATGGCACAGCCATTATTCAGGATAGAAGAATCTCTTTAAATACTTTAAATGCTGTAGGATTTGAGATCCTAACAATGGCGGGATATAACACCATGTGGTCCACTATATCCAAGAAGATAGCACTCTTCACTTTATATTTTATTATTAACATCTAGCATATTTCCTTATTTTCTTCAATGTTAATATTTTAAATATTTGGGGGGGGGGA